TCTTGGGAAAACGATACCTGGTCTTACCACGGTTTATTACTTGAACGATTTGGTGCACTTGCCAAAGAGTTTAACAGGTATTAGTCCGGTGAAGCTCGTGACAAATTAATTGGCGTTGTGTGTGCTGGCCCAGGGAATCTCTTTAGGTGAGTGATGAGGGTTATACTTTCACTTGTCCGGGGAAGCTCTTGATCAGAGTGATGAGGGGTGACATTGTGTACTTGCCCAGTGAATCTCCCTATAGAGTGATGGGAAGAAGCACTACACATTGGGGTAATGTGTAACTGCCTGGGGAAGCTCTAAAAAGAGTGATGGGAGTGACGCTAATACTATTGGTGTATGTATTTTGATTGATATGTTATACATATTGGTGTATGTAGTCTGATTTATTTTGTAATGCATATCGGTGTATGCATTCTGATTTGATATTTTGATGCATATTGGTGTATGCAATGTGGTTGAAGTATAATTCATACTTGTGTATGTAGTTTGATCTAGTTAAGAAGTGGATGGTAGTATGTTGTGGTATGTTAGGTGTGCAGTATACTCGAGGTATGAGTATATTTATGATGTATGTTTATTGTATTTTCGTTAGCTCACCCTTGCTTGATTGTGTATGTGAATGCGATGATCGTGTAATGCATGATGTTATACGGGAGCAGATGTTATTACAGATGTGATGGCTGATGCTTCTGAACATGCATAAAGGATGAAGGAGAAATGGGATAGAGGACCTGAGATTGTATTTTTAATATTTTATTCGATCCCGACTATTTGAACATTTATTTTCGGAATAATCGGTTTGTAATAAATAATGTACTATTTTTTCGATGAAGTTGGAGATTAAAAATTTTAAATTTTACTTATGTGTTTTACGGAAAAAATTAGTCGGTGTAACGCCGATTTCTAGGTGTTACACGCTTCGGTTTTTTGAAACAAAAGCGTAATGTGCGAGTTAAAAAAATGTTTATTTACTAGTGTATTAATACACATTAAATAAGTTTTTTTATACATTAATTATATTTTTAGACGAGTATGTTCATGCATATATTAGATAACTATAATAATACACATTAGACAACTCTATGCATTATTTAATTAGACAAGTTTTGCAATATGAATTAGATAAGTTTGTTCATGTACTAATTAGAAGAGTTTAACAATACACATTAATGAGTGTGTTCATATACTTATTGGATGAGTCTAACAATACATATTAGACAAGTTTGTTAATGTAGTGATTAGACAAGTGTAGCAATACACTTTAGATCAATTTCGTTATAAACTCATTTGTATTTTTAACGAGTCTCCTCTACAAATTTTTATATATCTTTTATATTTGTAGAGAGTCTACCCTATATTTTTGCACATGTTTTATCATTTATATTTTTACAAAATTTACTTTTTATGTTTTTACATATTGACTTTCTAAAATATTTTTTATATTTATTTTATTCACAATCAAATTATTGACATAAAAATATTTATTATTTATTTCATGAGTCTCTAAATCTCTTTAAGTAAACACGCACAAGTATCAACCCGTGTGTGTACATACAGATTTAAAACTAGTTCTAAACAAAATAAGAAAATTGACAGCAGAACATGTATTAAAGAAAGTAAGAGAGCAGGAAAATAACAATCATATCTAAGAAATATTTTACGGATCCAGATAAGTTTCTGAATCCTTCTAACAAATTCAACACAGCTTTTTCATACAAGTGATTCTGGAACAAGAGCAAAACATGTCACATTTCTGCCACACGATACATATAGCTATTTATTTGTAGTAGTCGCTTACTGCTTTGAAATTTCAAGGATGCATTATTTCAAATGATAAACCAGATCCACTTAATTTTTCTTCCATGATTTTGGATAGTTTTTCTGTCATTGAAGGAGAAAAATAATTTACCCAGTCTCCTATTTCTGCTTTTCGAAAGAAGTGCTTATTCTCAACGATTTTGTACGAGATTCCAGATTTATTAACTTCCAAATCCTTCATCTTCTCAAAACTACATAACCTGATTATGCTTTCGAACACTCCATTGCTTTCTTCTTCTTGAGTGAAAGGAAAATCCAGAAACTCTGCAACTCTTTTCACATACAAGTTGACATTCTCTTTAAGATCTTCATATTTTAATATCAGAATTTTGTTAGGTCTAACTATGCTCTCCTTCCAGTAACCTAACATATGACTCCACCATGGACCAAACTCAATTATCCCATTGCAATACATTTCAAAAATTTCCTCCATTGTTGGTACAGATGAAGAATGTTGCTTTATTTTATTAAAGAAATTCCAGGCTGAGATAAAAGTGTCAAAAGGGTTCCTACAAATATATATTATCTTACAATTAGACTCTATGATTGACTTAGACAACGAAGGGAATGGAATGTGAGTTCCAAAAAGCCTTGGCTCAGTTGTTGGAAAATGACTATCAGCAGGATGCATGAATTCAATGAAAGGCACAAGTTGATGAGGATTGGAAGTAAGCAATGGATGGTTATAAATGGAGAAGCATCGGCGATTTACAATGGCAAAAGCAATGGCTTTCAACCATGTAGTACCTGATTTTGGAAAACTAGCAACAATAATATCACTATCTTTTGCTTGAAACTGCTTCTGAAAAATGTTTACCTCTTTCATAAGAATCGATGGGCACCAAAATTCTTGAAATAGATACATATTTGAGGATGCCAAACCCCTCTCTCTTGGGAGGGAGAGAGTAAGTTCATCTTCTTTCTTCACTTGTCTTTCCTCTGCCATCAAGAAAAATTTCTGCAGGAAAAAAGATCAGTAGAAAGTTTGAAAATTTCTAGTGGTCA